CCTGGGGGGGAGGTTTACTGGAGGGGGTTTTTTTTTTTTGCCCCCGCCCAGCCCCCGAAAAGGGTAAAGAGGGGGGTCGTTCCCCGGTGTGAAGGGTAACCCCCCAGGGTATCAACCTTTCCTTTACGGGCCCAATGGGGGTCCTCTCAAGGGGGTATCAGGGTATAACCCTGGGGTATGATTTTGGAAACAAAGAGGACCGCGCAAGATATAAAGGGGGGCTAAGGGCTCTTCCCCCAAGGCCCCCCCGTTGCAGACCCGGGGTACCATACTACCATTGACAAATTTGCAAAATACCCCCCCCCGGGCAAATAGCAAAATCCGAATCCCGGGCACAAATCCGACGATTTCGGCCGTGGACGGGCCCCAAGTCTTCAGCTGGTGCCAATACGGATGGATTGCCGACGGGCAAGCGTCTCATTGGCGCCCCCCCCCCCCCCCCCGTAAGCAGCCCGTCGATGCATGTGGCTCGCGCGGCCACGGCCGCAACGACGCGTCGCCGGCGGCGCTCACTCGAGCCCGAGCCCTCCGCGACGGCAACGCCAGGTCGTCGCGTCCGCCCCGCCAGCCCTTGAGCACGCCTCCCGCATACCGATGACTGCACTCGGCGTCCACCGGCGGGGGACCATGGAGGAGCGGTCAGCAGTCTCGACTTTCCGACCCGCCTCTGTCCTTCGTGCACAGGTACTAAGCACATCCTACTCTCGCTGCTGGCTGTCCACACAGCCAGACCTAGACACCTGCCCACACATCGGATCATTGCCCCCTCTGTGCCCATCGCCCCACTGGCCCCTTCCCCACGGCCCTCGCTGCGCCCTGCACAGAGCCTCCCCGACGGAACGAAGAAACACCAGGGGTGAGGAACCACCCCGACCAAACCGACGGCGCGTCGGGGCCAGCGCTCTCAAATGCGCCCCAAACAGGACTGCCATTCTCCACGCCGACCGCCGCCCAGCAGCCAGAGCTGGCAGAAGCCGACGTGGCCGACGTGCAGCCGATGCAGATCGACCCGCCGGGCTCCGGACGCAACCTCGCCGTCGCCCCCTGCTCCACCGCCGCTCCCGCCCACCACGCCGCCGTTGCATTCGTCCAGCCGGTGCAGCAACAACCGGCTTGGGGGTCTATTGCAACACATATGGAGAGCTTCCTGCGTGACCTCGGGGAGGCGCGCGACGCCTGCAACAAGCTGCCTTTTGACGATGCGCTGCGCTCTGAGGGAGGGTGTAGAGGATGTAGAGTGTAGAGCGCTGTAGAGCTGTAGAGCTGGAGAGCGCTGTAGAGCTGTAGAGCTCTACATCCGCCGCGGGACGAGGCGCCTCCGTTGTAGAGCGATGTAGAGGCGCTCTACAACGTGAAATCTCTACAACAAACTCTACATCATAAGCGGCGAACGAGGCACGGTCGCTCTCCGACATGAGGCGCGTTGCACTTGCCAGTGCTGCCCTGGCCTTCTGTCTGCCCGCCCAATGGGTAGGAGGTGCCTCTGCTGCTATGGCATGCCTCACGGCTGCGACTGGCCGGCACCTCGGCGCGTCAGCTCGGCTCGGCGTAGCGATAGTGGCCAGCGCAACTCGCCTGGACTCAACGCTCAGCCAGGAGCTCCCGCACGCGCTGGCGCGAGTCATGGCGCATGCAACGCGCAGCAATGCTCGCCTCGCCTCGCGCAAATGCGACCGTCCTCGCAGCCGACAGTCCACCGCCTGCTAAAGAAGCACAGCGACGAATGCGGCACCGGCGACGCATGGCAGGCTGGTCATGACGCAGTTATAGGGTGTTGTGTGCCGTCGGAGTGACTCTCTGTGTGTCAGGGATAGTCAGGGCTGTCCATCAGAGCTCCAGTAAGCTCAGAGACACCCCATTAGCGCGGCTCGACCTCTTTGAGTCACTGCCTTCCCGGCGGTTTTGCTGTAGAGCCTCTACAACAAACTCTACAACAAAATCGCGCTCTACATCGCTCTACAACGGAGGCGCCTCGTCCCGCGGCGGATGTAGAGCTCTACAGCTCTACAGCGCTCCAGAGCGCTCTACATCTCTACAGCTCTACAGCGCTCTACACTCTACATCCTCTACACCCTCCCTCAGGCTGCGCTACAAGATAGCTACCGAAC